GAATCTTCTTCTCAACATTGAAGTCTGTTAATTGACTCCAAAAACCGCATTCCTATACATAATTCTATTGGTCTGATCGCAAAAAAACAAAAAAGTGAAAGATGAAAAAAGGCCACGCTCACTTACGTGTCACGTTGAAAGTCCTTGCGAGATCCCCCATAGTACTGCAAGTAGTCGTTTACCAGTTTTTTGTGACGTTGGTACTGAAGACGGAATAGGAGTTAAGGAAATTTTTAAAAAACACGGAAGAGAAAAAAGATGACAGGTGGACAGAATCTCCACGCAAAGGATACAGCATCTTCTGTGAGGACACGAGAACCAGGGTGTCTAGAGGGGAGGAATGAGTGAATGAAAAAAAGGCTACTTTGGCTTTGGTGGATCGGGGCGCGGTACTTCCAGGCGTCTGCCAATACTATCTCTCTTGTAGCCCAACTCAGAGGCAGTGTCAAAGTCATCAGTCCTGTGAAAGACACAAGAAGTGGAGATTAAATCTTCAAAAACGGCTGCAAATCACAAAATGCACCTTGGTAGACTTCTCGCGTCAAGTTCACTCCGGGTGTCTGATTCGAAGTCCGAGATGTATTCAGAGTTCAGGTAGGACTTAATAATGCGAAGAATAAATGCCAAATATTACCTTGGAGTTGTCCATTGACTAAAACGGAAAATAATTATGATGAAAACTAAGGTTAAAAAGCGACCTATTAAGGTATTTTAAAAAAAGTCGGGCTTCTATATTTTACTTCGGAAGGAAAAAATAGGTCAAACTCCAGGTCAGCATTTTCAAACAAATATCGTCTACATCAAATGAACGCACACAGGCCACTTTCCTTGGTAGGACCATTTGAAAGAATAATTAGTCTCCATTTAAACCAGTGGGTGGATACAAATTCCGAAAAGGTACACAGGTATAATCAGTTAGCGTACGAACATACGGATAGTGGCCTCGATAGGAACCGCAGAATTCTCTTGATGGAGGTTTTATATACTCGATATTTTTCTTTAAACAGATTTCACAAAGAGTCTAAAGGTCCAAATGAAGTCTAACGAATGCTCGCACTTGCACGGCCTCGTTCAACCAATGAGCACTGTTGTCCTTATTGTGTTAGGCCTAAGGCAACCGAGGTTCACCAGCCGAAAAAACTTCAGGATCGCCGTGAATATAAAGATGTGTCCACCCTCAAAACCCAAATATATCACCTATGTCGGCTAAGTTCACGCTTATCCAGGATATCACACGTAGTTTTTTCTGTAAACATGCACAAAATCACGATGTCAGTAGCAGGGTTTAGATCTGCATTGCGCAGATCATGATCAAGTGTAACTGGCAGGAGAGGATAAAATTCACCAAGGTACCAGACAAGACACCACCATACGATCGTTGTCTCGGGTCCTTATGATTGACGCATTGTTCGACCGGTTTATTCGCAAACTTCTGCACAGCACCCCACATCTTTTGAGACAAAAGAAAGTTCCCCTGTCCGTAGCCATGTCTCAAAGTAGGTTGGTCACATGAGGCCGATCTCTGAAGCCCAAATTACCACGAAGGCAAGCGGACCATACAATGTCAGTTGGTTGGATTGTGTCATCCGACACCCATGCATATGGTGCGCCTGCTGTGGCCTGGTACGCCCTTTTTCGAGACAGCCCTCTTCTAGCATAAAACTACATTAATTACAATAGCCTCAGTGCTACGATAGGTGGAGAATCCAGTTTTTTACAGGTCGTGTCTTTTTAGGAACGTTAGCCAAACCTTAACAGAGCGCCGATGCCATGAACTGAGCGGCTGCTTAGCTCAATGTGCCAAGAAAATGGTCGATTTTATTTTGGGTATGGTTACCAGTTGAACAGAAGGTGGCTACATATCTCAAGACATGTCCGAAGTAGGCGGCCATGACGACCAGGTGGTTCGGTGCAACAAAGTCAACGAACTTTTCGTCACTGAAACAGCGGCTGGAAGGTGCAGCAAACCGCCCGCCCGGTGCACCTTGCAGTTCGTTCTAATGAATCTCCCGCCTACCATCAGTATTCAGCGTTACAGATAACATCACAATGAAAACGATAATGACAACAATATAGCTAAGATGTGCAAGTGTAATCGTCGCCGAGAGAGATCTTTAGTTCATATGTGAAACACAGGCACGAGCACTCTAATTGGTCGATAACCTAGATCAGACCGAATTGCCAGTCACAGCGTTGTAATTCATGTGACAATATTTCGGCACTTGACATCTTAAGGCCACGTTAGCAATTATTTTATAAGCAGGTCCCTGGAGGGTAAGCAAGATCTTCGTGGCATCACCGCAGAGCTAACAAGAAAAGACTGCGCGTTTCCACTACGGTTCCTTCTTCCCAACGAGGGTCGGTCATTATGCCGAACATAGTCAAGACCCATCAGTAGCGCAGATTGTGTAGAGCAAGTTCAGATATATGACTGAAGAAAGTAAATGGTGTATGTCTGCAATTTAATATAAGTTTGATCCCCTAGTCCTTAAGTTGTCTTAAGATGGAGGTGCGGTCTGTGGTGAAACACTTTACTCGAGTTTTATGTTATCCATTTCGGAATGGCGCAAATTGACTTTGCAGTAGTTTATATAGTAGTCGGTAATCTATGCAGCCTATCTTATTGAAGAGAAATGGGCGAGAGCCCTGGGGAATGCATACCTATGACGTAAAATGTAGTATTTGTATGTAGAAGTAAAAGTAGCCAAAATACTAAATTAACTCACGACGGAGCACCTTAATAGCTTTTAGGAGTCATTTTGGAACGGAAATAAATCAATGTACTTTTTAGCACTTTCAACCCGTAGAAACATAAAACGACGGCCAGCATTCAATGGTTGTAAATGAGCTGAAGGCATGCTAAAAAGAACTCCAAATCTTCGTTGGCGTTATAAATGAAGGTGGCGCCTAAATCACTGTCAGGCATACTTGTCCAACTCGGATTGAATCCTCCGCCACGGGCTTTGCCCTATTACACTTTGGAGTGCGTAGAAATGCGAAGAAGTCAACTTAAGACCTGGTTTGACGCAGTTTGTCAAGACATGGAGGCAGTTCTCGGACTTTCGGTATGCATCACTGGAGAAGATAATGGATTTAACTTTCTAGATTTGCCGCCGCAAATTCTCAGGCGTGGAGAGGTTAAACCGGCGATATGCTCGAGGGCAGATCGGTTAGGCATGATCACAGCCGTGTCAAGTACGAGAATAGGAAAAAATTCCAAATAAGCATAATGTGGTCATATCGGACGAACGAGGTGAAGATAATAACTCCGTCGATAACTTATGACTTTTTTGCAGAAGCTGTTTCAGAACCTGGTTAGCTGGCCCTCACATGCTCCAGTTCACAAACGCTTCATACTGCATGAGGGGTAAATTCAAGATTTCATGTAGAAAATAAGGGCAGTCGAATTTTCGCACGCGCATGAAAAGTGTTACAGTTAATTCCTGGCACATTTAAATTGCCCGTCATCATGAATATATATCAATTACACGAAGCCGCTAACTACTCTATTAAATGAGGGAGAACGAATTGGTCCGTCTGGACAGCTTTAAAGTTGCGGGCAAACTAGACGCCATAAACTTTGTGATGTACATGGGAATCCCGTCCCTTTCGTTGCCTTCCCAGTCCATCTTATAGCATTTGGTATTCATTTAACACAATTTAGCTTTCATTAGTAAGTATAAACGGCCAGACTGCGCCTACTACCATAACTTAAACAAAGATTTTCGCAGGGTGGATATTCAATTCATAAGGTTTAGGCAACAGGTTTGGTTACTTGCATACAAGAACAATAACTGTAAACCTTTCACGGCGAATTTCTGTTATCACTTGAACTTACTGCAATGTATCACTGTGTCATAATTTACGCATGTCACCTCAGTGGCCAGATTGTTGTCGTAAGTACCAGGCATATTTGGTATCGCGGACTTACGCCTTTCCTAATGTTCTGCGGATGGTTCTACAGAATATCGATGCTCACAGAGTAGCTGCCACTATTTTAACTTTCTGCAGATGATTTAAATTGCAAAACAAGGTTCCGGTGAATCAAATACTCCATTAAGGGTACTTAGATCTAAAAGGCCCCACTGATAGTTAACCCCAAGTAAGCTGAGCAATTAGTGAGCTTGGCGTTTTCAGAGAATAGACTTACCACGTTATTTTCGGTCTAGTGTGATTACAAGAGATTCCGGCCACGTTCCTACATTATCGCCGTAAATTTTCCCAGTCATGTTCCATGTTTCATCAGTAGAGGGTAGGGAACGGATCCGTGGGCACCCCTTCTTTG